TTTGTCACTGTCAGATTTTACATTTAGTCATGGGCATAAAAAGAACAATGATTAAAATCAAATGAAGACCATTTTAGAACTTAAATAATAATATAAATTAATAAAACTATATACAATAATAAGGTAAAAGAATTTCTTAAAATCTATCAGTAGTCCAGGGAGTTTTACTTCCTAATACTTTTCAAATTTGTAAAATTACACTCTTTATTAATTCTAGCTTATCATGAATGATGACAATCAGAGCTCCCAGTGGACATGTCTTCACTGTTTCACTAGAAGAGAAGCATATTTCAGTTCACTGAAGGTGGATCTATTCTATACTACTAAGTCCATACAGGGTTTGAAATGCCTCCTTTGAAACTGTAGGATATAAGGCCAAAGGGCATACCTACTCAAAGAAAATAACGCTAATGTCAATCTGATTCATATTTTCATGAGAATTTTAATATAATTGCACTAATACTCTCTGTTAGGGCTTTTCACTAATAGAAAATTATAAAAATTATAACCATTACACTGAACTATGGTAATCTTACAGATGTGATTCACTATAAACATGAAACTCATTAGCATTTCCACTACATTAAAAACATAAAAGATTATTAACTCAAACTCAAGTTATATATACAGGCTAAAGAGTTCATTCAAATTAAATGTATCAGTGTTGCAATCATTTACTTAATACACACCTGGCTTTATAGCTAGCTGAGCAACAGAAAGATAAAAGATAAAAGAAGAAATTTAGGCTTGAAAAAAAAAATGTGACAAGAAAAAATATATTATTTGTCCCATCCACAAAGCTTTGATATTTTGTAAAAGATTCATTTCAGATTATGAAATGAATAGTTTTTTAAGAAAAAACTATGACAATTTATAATTTAAAAAAATAATAGTAATGGTTTTATAAATTGACAGATTATACCACCCTTTATTCTAGAAAACAATGTTGTTAATTTTAATCAGCAAACATTTTTAAAATTAACACTATACCTTTATACACAGAAGTTACTGTTATTTTAGATTCAAAAAAATGCTTAATCTAAATGGACATAATTGTTTGTACACAATTTACCTGAAGGTTTTTACTTCTGAGTGTCTTCAGCCCAATAATATATACAGAATTGGGGAACATTGGGTCATTTTTAATTTTTAGAATTAAAACTAATAAACAAAAGATAAATACCATATGATCTCATTTATTTTTGTAATTAAAAAAACATAGATACAAAGAACAGATTGCTGGTTGTCAAAGGTAGGGGGAGGAGTAGGCTTTTATAGGTGAAGGAGATCAAAAGTACAAACTTTATAAAATAAATAAGTCATGAGAATGTAATGTACAACATGGTAACTATAGTTAATCATACTGTATTGTTTATTTGAAAATTGCTGAGAGTAGACCTTAAAATTTCTCATACATAAGAAAAAAAATTTGTAACTGTGTGGTGATAGATGTTAACTAGACTTAGTGTGGTGATCATTTCATAATATGTATCCAAATGTTGAATACATGTTGTACACCTGAAATCTAAGAGTTATTGTTTACTCCTCCCTCTCTCACTTCCTCCACATCTTACAAAGTCACTTTTAAATATCACTTAAATAACCTTCTTCGTCCCATCCTTTCTGCCACCATCCTGTCCATGCTTTTCTCTCTCTCCTGTTCTCCCTTCGTCCACTCTCACTCACCTCCAAACTATAGGTATTCTCTAAGTGACAGCCAGAGTGAGTTTTGTTTTTGTTTTTAAATGCAAGCCTAACCATACCACTCCCCTGCTTAAACCTCTTCAATGCTTTCCCACTGTCCACAGGACAAAATCCAAAATCTTGAACTCCGCCCACAAGGCATTATCTGGGCTCCTGGCTGCTATGCCAACCTCACTTTTACTACCATTTCCTCTTAAACAATAATCTACCTGTCTTTCTTTCAGTTTTTCAAATTCAATATCCTATAATCTATGCCTGGAATGTTCTCTCTCTCTTTACCAGCCAAGGCCTCCCACTTTTCACTGAGCCAATTCCTTATTCATCCTAAATGAAAGCCAGAAGACTACAAAGCAAAAGATTGATAGTTCTGACTACTAAAATTTAAATTTTGTACAGTAATAAATAAACTAAATAAGTTAAAAGATAAATTTAAAAATGTGGATACGGAGGATGTACGGAGCTCATACAGCCATACAGAAAAACAACAAACATCTCTCAGTAGAAAAATGTGCCAAAGACATGAACATGCAACTCATAAAAGAAATATGGTGACCAACTGACATATAAAAGGTCTTCATTCTCCCTTCTAATAAATATGCAAATCAAAACAACAATTAGATATTGTTCATGCATCAAATTGCCAAACATTTAAAAGATTGAGGAGGTGCATCTGTTTATCTGCTACTCTGAAATAAACACATTTGAAGATAGTTAGTGTCATACAGATTATATATACATACATACTCCCAAAATCATCTAATTCTTCATACTGGAATACTATGAGCAGACATCAGTTTTCGTTCCTGTTGCACATCTAATGAGGCAGGGTGAACAGAAGCTCAAGGAGACAGCCTAGAAGAGCAACTCCGTCCTTGCCTATGCCAATTAAATTGTTCACCTTAGCTTTATTCCTACATTTTTTACAGTTTTAATGACATTCAATTCATTACACAAATTATCTAAAAGGAAAACAACACAATATATATTAAAGCGTCAGAGCTTTTAGGAAGAAAATATATTCAGAAAACTTTTTTAACTAAATGTTTATTTGTGGTAGATCAAAAAAAAATTTTAAACGTGTTATACCTCTTTTTCTACTTTAAAATTTTTAATTTAATAAATTTAAATATATAAAATAAATATATATATATTTCACAATATATAATTGACCGATATTCTTTTCCATCAAGTTTATTCAAAACTATAGTCTAAAAACTCTTTCTGAATGGTGATATGATTTACTCAATTCAGCTATAATACTGGATTAAGGTTACTATGAAATCTCCAGAATCAAAAACTGTTTTATAAAAAACAATGTTTTCAATGGGGATGAAGAATCTGGGAATTTAGGACAGGAAATTTCCTGACTCACAATTACAAAGTTATTTTCCTCTACAATTTCAACAACAAGAAAGGTTTTATAGCTATAAGCATAAATCACTAAGCAAATTTAGCCTTTGAAAGTATCTTTTTCCTCAAGGATATTCCCCATTAATATTTTTAATTTTCTGTATCATGTATTCTGGAATGAGCAAAAGAATTTTTATGAAAAAATATAAGAAAATGTTAACAATGGTTAAATAAGGTTGGGGGGGTGCTTTTCCTTTTTATTTGGCATGTTTCTGTGTCGTTTGAATTTTCCTACTATGTACATAGTTGGAATAGAAATTATCTGGAATACCACTTTTGTTTTTTCCTTTATAAATTTATTTTTTGAAAGTCGTAAAAGTGATGATCTTCCTTTGTTAATCATCATATACATTTATGATTAATTAGTACATGTTACACATTTTTTTTTTTTTGGCTAATCCTCACCCAAGGTTATTTTTCTATTAATTTCTAGATAGAGTGAAAGGCAGGGAGGGGAGGAAAAGAGAGAGAGAGAGAGAGAGAGTGAGAAACATCAATGTGAGAGACACATCAATTGGTTGCCTCCCACACAATCTTGACCAGGGCCAAGGATTGAACCTGCAACTGACATACATGAGCTGGACTGGGAATAGAACCCAAGACCCTTCCATCCACAGGCCAGCACTCTACCGCTGAGTCAAGCCCAAACTGGCCAGAGCAACACATTCTTATTAACTGTTACTCCAACTTAGCAACCTTTGCTCTGATAAACAAACCAAAGATAAAATCATTTAAGCAAAGCAGCTCAGGGTCTAGTAAAAACAGCTAGACTGGCACTCAATTTTGAAAGATTTAGAACCAGTTGTAATCTGCCTAAGACAAACGATATTTGTTCATTAACAGTGCGTTCTATCTAATTCATACTATTAAAAGTAATGATGTAGCAAATATTTACAACATCATTAAGAACTGATATTCCGTATTCTTAACCACATGAACTCCAACTCCAAACGCCTTTCAATGTACTGTGTCCTCACTCTGGAGAACAAGTTTCTCTTCTGACCGTGAGCAGAAGGGAGTGTTACTCTTTCTGTCTCAGCTTCTTCCTCTGACACTCTCTGGGAGGACCCTGCCACTGAACTTGTTCATGTAAAATCAGAACAGCAGAAGAGAGACAGGCTGGATGGGTGGGAAGAAAAGGTGAAGGATGAAACTATGAGAGCTGTGAAGGCAGAGTTGAAGGGGTATGAGAAGGATAGGCGAATGGCCAGGGAGGGTGGGGGAGGAGCTCCAGAGCAGCTGGAACCAAGTGAAGACCCAGACAGTATTAAACAGCCATTCGGCAGGTGGACTATGCTGCTTTAAATGGCACTGCAGAGAGGCTGGGCAATGTGTCTCTACCACTTATATATAAGTTAGACTGTCCAGGTTTATGATTTATGAGCTGGCCCACAAAACAAATTTGTAAATCTTTATGCAAATAATACAAAGCGTAATTATTAAATTTGATGACTTTTCTCTATAAAATATAGAGACTTTACCTTAGAATTGCTAACATAAATCAAAAGCAAACAGTCAGTAAAAAGATCATACCAAAAATCATCCTTGCTATGGCTTAGTAGCAATGAATTACAGAGAATATCCCTAAAAGGAGGGTAAACATCAAGGAGAGACTGATGCCCAAGCTCTCACTTGCTCTTTGTCCCTCACTCTTACCTCACCAAAAAGGAGTGTGTAAATCAAATGGTTAGAAACATTAAAAAGTAATCCAGGTTGGTAAAGAATGTCTAGAGGTTGGTAAAGAATGAAACAGTCTACAAAACAAAGAATCTGGAGTTTTGGTGGGTTTTTCCTTCTCTGAATCTAAGGTACACTGCGCCACCTACTGGGGAAAGCAAAACCGCCATTCACTACAAGGAAGACTTGGTTAATATGAAATTATTTACCTGAGGTTGAAGCAAAGCAACCAGGGATGTGGGGAGACCAGATTGTGCTGTAAATGACACTTTCATGGCCTCTAAAGGTGCACAAAGACTTTCCAACAGTTGGATCCCACTACAAATAAAGGAACAGATCAATTACTCAACAGAGGTAAATTCAAATGTACACTTTTACATATACAATATATAAAATATATATGTATTTGTATATATACATATATACACACACACACACACACAATATACATAAATGTCTCAAGGACTTTTTAAAGTCTATTTTTACATATAGCAAGATGGCATTTAAAGGGTCAAAATAATCAATGCTGAGCTAAATATTAGTTTACAGCCAAAAGATTAGAAAATTTTAAATTCTAATAAATGCTTTAATATATTTTTTAAAATAAAATTAGCTACCTAATTAAAAATCTACAGAAGAATGTTCTAGAAAAGAAAAGAAATTAGTGGATGCTTTGGGGAAGGGAATATTTGCTTTTAAATACAGGAATGTCAACCTACCAGTTTGATGGTTTGATCCCAAGAACCAGACACCACAAGTTGTTCCCCTCTGGTCTGGCTCCAATCAACACTATATACCTAAAACCATTTTTAAAAGTGTCATTTAGAGAGCAAAAAGAGCATCAGTTCAATATTGTATTTTATCTCTTTATAACAGTGATAGCCAGTTACAACAATGAATTTACTTTGTTGAAACATCAAGTCCTACAAATCTTAACATGATGTTGAGAAATGGAAAGTTACCTTACCTTGTCCATTCCTCCAGACTTACTCCTTACAGATTCTACTTTAATAGAATTCTACAGAATATGTCCAAATCTTCTTCACATAAAACAAATTATACATATTTTTAAACCTACCAACAAATCACTGTTTGCAGCACCCTGAAGAAATGTCAAAGCAGATTAGAAAGCCATCTAAAAAAGCTTGCCGGGTCTATGTTTATCAGAAAGCATTAAGATTCAATTACTGTCACTATCTGGCCTTTCTTAGAAAAAACTTATAGGAACCAGGTGATCCTTTCAGATCTCTTGGTAAACAGCCTTAGTGATCCAATGCTGCTGTTCTAATCTATGCTTCATTGCTCTCAGTGAACCATTTCAAATGAACTATTTGGAAATTTATGGAAATATTTTTCACTCTGTCATTTTATACAACAGATTATATACGAATCACTACTATAAGGTAAGTTCAACAAAATATGTGCATAATTATACTTTATGAAAGTAGTTCTGACATGGATCTGAGTATATATCATTACATGTGATCAACAGGTTATTTTGAATCTAAAAACTCTACTATATTTATGTAAAATGTATAAGTGTCTGGGGTTTGTAGTGGTTTACATATGGGTTAGCTGTTCACAGTGCCTAGTGCCAAGCTGAGCCATGTTGGAGACTAAGTGAAATAAAAAAATCAGTAATACTGATCCTGTCTTTATTTAAAAGTGATTATTTGTTAATCATAGATTTTTGCATTAATTTTGTTTTTTGTTTTTTTTAACTACTGCATTAAGAGATTATTTTGATTACTATTTTGGGGGGGCTCCCTTAAACTATGTACTCATGGTTGAGTGCCTCACCCAGCTTGCCCTAGTCCTGGCCCTGCTGCTGCCTATATCCGTGCAAAAGAGAAAAGAGCAGTAGGAACACTAAAGAACCACAATCCAGTAAATAATACAGAGCAACTCATAAAGTATACAGAAGGGGCAGCAGAAACCAAAGACTGCTATAGCCATCTATTAGTTATGGGTAGAAAAAAATGGGTATGGAAGCAATCACTGAAGATATTGAGAGCTGACGTGTTTGGTTTTATCCTCTAGTCCAGGGTTTGGCAAATTTCTCCTGTCAAGGGCCAAATAAATATTTTAGGCTTTCTGGACCATTTGATTTCTGCTACAACAACTAAACTCAGCCTTGTAGATCACAAAAGTAGCCATAGGTGATACTTAATGGCTGTGTTCCAATAAAACTTTATTTTAAATCAGACAGTAGATTGGGTTTGGCCTTGGCCCAGGCATAGTAGTTTGCCAACCCCTGCTTTGGACTGATGTGAACGGTCAAAAATAACCACAAAAGTAAATCTTTCTTCATCACCTACTGCACACAAAATGTTTCCATAAACACTTCGTACATTTTATTTAATTTAATCTTCACTTCTATGAAGTAGATACTATGCCAAGGCCCAAAGAGGTTCAATTCCCAAGGCTAGAGCAGAAATCTGAACCTAGGTGGCCTAACTGCAAAGTCCACCATTAATTACTGCTAGGCTCTCTCTACAGCACGCTACTCGAGGATACTATCAAACTGCCCTTGTTGGTATCACCCTTCATTGGAGCTATATTTGGGTACAGACTTATTTCATTTTGTTTTCATGAATTATACATATTCAAGAACTTAAAAGTTCCTGTCCACCTGGTGAACTCTTGCTCAAATGTCATCTTGGCTCCATTATGTCCTTTATGAAATAAGCCTCCCCGATGAACCCCTCAGTGATTTAGATCCTTCCTTCTGTGCATTCCAACAGCATCTTGTACCTACTTCTGATTCAACATTTACCATATTTTACTAAAGTTCATGTTAAATAACTGCCATACCTGCTAGATTTTGGAAAACCCTTCTAAGCAAAATCTTAAGATATATATCTTATATAGCTATGCTCACTGCAATATAACTCAATAAATGTGAATTAAAATAATTAAGCCAACCAAATTTATCTTCACTACCTGTAACTCTGCTAAGTAGTTATAAAGAGCTATTGTTTTCATTTTATTTTATTTATTTATTTTTAATCCTCACCCGAGGACATTTTTTTCAATAGTTTGTTCAGATAGAGTGGGAGGGAGGGAGAGAGAGAGAGAGAGAGAGAGAGAGAAACATCGACATGAAAGAGATACATCGAGTGGCTGCCACCCACACGACCCAACCAGGGCCGGGGACAAACTGCAACTGAGGTACATGCCCTTAGCGGGAACCGAACAAGGGACCTCTCCAGACCGCAGGCTGACCCTCTAACCACTGAGCCAAACCGGCCAGGGCTATTGTTTTCATTTTAAAAGATAACTGAATAGCCCTGGCCAGTTTGGCTCAGCGTTTAGAGCCTTGGCCCTAAATCAGAAAGGCCGGGTTCGGTTCCTGCTAAAGGCATGTACCTCGGTTGCAGTTTGTCCCTGGGGTTGTTGGGGGTGGCAACCACCCGATGTGTCTCTCTTACATAGATGTTTCTCTCTCTCTCTCTTCCTCCCTCTCTCCCTCCCACTCTATCTGAAGATAAATGCAAAAATGTCCTCGGGCAAAAATGTCCTCAGGTGAGGATAAAAATATTTTAAAAAATAAAAAAGATAACTGAATAAACTAAAAGCTAACATGATGAGCTCACACTCCACTGCCTCTATCCATTTCCATCACGATGCTGGACTTGAAACCCTAATGAGAAGCAAAGACAGGAGGTAAGAAAACTCTGCTGATGGCAGTGTCCTGCCAGCCGTCTCATCTGACACACAGTAACATGGCAAGCACTAGGACAAGATTCTAGAACAAAACGAAGGATAGGACACACATGTGAGGTTAAAAATGGAATAGTAAAGAAATAGAGGTGACTCAATAAACAGTTTATTTGCTTTATTGTGTTTAAAATATTAGGACATGTGGAAGTAATTAACAGTACAAGTCAGGATATCATGTTTTAAAAATAACAACTATAGACATAAATACAAAAGGGGTTCTGGGATGGAAACTGCAGCTTGATGCCCAGAAGTGAGGATTCAAACAGGGCCTTGAGGGGTGGCTACCATGTTAACAGCAGCAAGCAGAGGTGCAAATACTGACCAGAAACTCCTCAAAGACATATATGGGCACAGAAAGCACCAAGAGATTAGGACTAGTGAACCCTGCAAGATAATACTAAGATTTTGTGCCTGAGGACTGTCCGTGATGGTGGCATTAACAAACTGGAACACTGGAGGAAGGAAGATAAAGTGTAATTTTAGACACACTGAGTTTGAGGTGACAGCAAGATAGTCAAGTGGAAATGTCTAGTAAAAATGGGGATTTTGCATTAACCTCAAGCTCTGGGAAAAGTTTATAGCCATAAGGATATTTGGGAGACAGCCAAAAAGGGATGACAGGATTCCATTATCCCAACCCTTAAATCAATTCACTAACCTAGTCAATAAATATTTATCAAGCACCTACTATATACAAGGCATGAACTGAGGGGTGGAGCATACTATATAAGACAAGACAGATGAAGTCCCAGCCTTTGTGGATCTTATATTTTAGCAGGGAAAACAGGCTGTAAACAAATAAACATATTTCATGTTTTGATTTTTTTAAATTACAAAGCAAAGTAAAGCTAAGTAAGGAGACTAGGAAACAATAAAGGCAGGAGGTCATTTCTCAGTAGTGGTCAGGGAAGACCTCTCTGAGCAAAGAACTATGTAAAGTAAAAGAGAAAACTGCAGATTTGAGAAGAAAGGCTTTGGTAAAACAGGGAAAGATCCTGAAGCAGGAAACAAGTGTGTCATGTTTGAGGAACAATAAGGTCAAATAATTAGGTGGGACAAGATCGGGCCATAGTTACAAGTTTATATATAATTTCTCTTAAGAGGCTACAACCATCAACCATACACTACCAGCTAGATTATGGCATCCTAGTATCCTTCTAGCTGCTCTCTCCATCCATTCTTGCTCACCTCCAATCCATTATCCACACTGCATAAAAAAATAACCTTTCTAAGACACAAATTAATGTCACCTCCACCCCTGCAGAACCTTTCAGTCATTTCATACTGTATGACTCGTGCAATTTACAATCCTCACTCAGCACTGAAATTCATCCATGCTGTTGCTTACAACCGAAAGATCAATATCATGCAAAACTATGCACGACATAGGGATGCATACAAATGTAGTCAAACTAAAAGGAAAAATGAAAACTATATAAACAGAAAATTCAGGAGAATGGTTGCTCCTAGGAAGAAGGGAGGAAGGAAAAAGAATAGGATCAGAATAAAGGAGAGAGAAGGACAGAATTAGTAAGCAGGGGCTCCATGGTATTGGTAAGGTTTTATTTCTTAGATGATGAATATACAAGTGTTCGTTATACATTTTTTACATTATATGTATTTCTTTTTTTTTTTTTATCCTCACCCAAGGATATTTTTCCATTTTTTGTACAGATAGAGTGGGAGGGAGAGAGAGGAAGGGAGAGAGAGAGAGAAACATTGATGTGAAGGGACACATCGAGTGGCTGCCACCCGCACGACCAACCAGGGCCGGGGACAAACTGCAACCAAAGTACGTGCCCTCAGCGGGAACCGAACCCGGGCCTCTCCGGACCGCAGGCCGACGCTCTAACCGCTGAGCCAAACTGGCCAGGGCATGTTTCTTATATGCATGAAATACTTCAAAGTAAGTTATTTTAAATTTTGAATGTCTTTCCATTGATCTTAACATAAGGACCAAAATGCTAACTGCTCTGGGCACACAGGCTCAATCCTTCCCCTTCAAGCATGCACTTTGCTGCTAACACTGTTCCTCTGACATCTCCACCTAAATAGTCAATCCCTATTCTCCCAT